CAAAACAGTAAAAAAAAAACAGTAAAAAAAATAAAAATTATTTTAAAATAAATAAAAAATGTGTAAAAATAAATAACTAATAGAAAAAGCACAACCCCTCCCTCCCCCCATATAACATACACATATTGTGGTGCACACCATGCACATGTGCTGCGGTGCGTTGTTAGAACGCATCGTAGTGCATGATGTTTTTTTATTTATTTGTTTTCTTTAAAAAAAAACATTACATTAACTGTGGCAGCGCATGGCAAAGCTTTGTGACGCCTTGTGTTGCAATTAAATATACACCTGTATCATTTTATCACAACACAAACACCAAAACAATTTTTTACATAAGTCGATTATTTACAGTTTTGCATACCTTCATTTTTTTACCTTTTCGCAAAAAGGCGCAATTACAAATTTGCTAATATTTGTTATTTATTAACTCAATACAGTTTTATCTTTTAGATTTAGTCAGAAAATATATTTTTTGTGCACGAATACTGATTTTGGTGTGTTTTAACAATTGAACTGTGTATTTTTATCGCTTTAATACTATTTTGAGAAACATTTGCGCAATTATCGCAGGCCCTACAAATTTAGTATCACCATCTTTTTATTCTACCGGGCCTGCGCTTTCAGAAAATATATGGTTTGGCGGGTCTTTTACAAACGCTAGCAACCCAGCAGTTAAAAATCAAATCAATAGGAAGAAATTGCAAAAATGGCTTGGCCAGCTGATTTGAAAAATGTTCCGGAAGGCTTGGCAGCGAAAGGGTTAAAACTTGGATTAACAATGCTTGTGCAACATGATCCACATGATGAGTAAGCGCCAAAAATATGTGTCAGGAAACTTTCTCAGTTCAAGCGAGTTTTATGAGCTCTCCCAAGGCCCACAGTCCAGTTCTTTACTTTACTTGATTACTATATCACATGCAAGCTGTTCAGTTGCAATGCACAGATTCCTCATTGTAGGAGGAGCTGGCTAGAAAGAAAAACATTCTGCTAAGAGGAGGAAAAGCCAGTTGCACTCGGAAACAATCGCAGATCAGTGAAAACTGCAAACATGTTTGACTTTCACAGTGTAAGAGCTGCTTTGGTGGGGGCTATCTCTTTTATTATTGTCCTGTTTTATGGAAAGTTCTTACGGAGGAGAAGTAAAATGCCCCCTGGCCCATTCCCTCTGCCAATACTGGGTAACTTTCTGCAGCTTCACTCTGATGGATTAGTGCCAGCCCTGATAAAGGTGAGTGTAAAATTCATATGATTCTAATATATAAAAAAACTGCAGCTGCTGTGGAAGAACTTGTTTGGTCTTTTAACGTTAAAGGAGAACTATGAGGTGAGTGCTTTTCACTCACCTCATAGTTCTAGCCGACCTGTGACAATGAGACTGTCACAGGTCGGCTCAGTAGATCGGGAGGTAACAGGGGAGGGGGTGGATTCCCTCCACCCCGCTCCGATCCGCCAGCGCTGACTGGCGGAACGGACGGGGGCGGGTACAGCTGGCTCTGCCTTTGGATAGGCAGAGCCAGCTGTCAGTCACGCAGCTGGACGGATCCCGGCACAATTGTCGGTATACTGAGCCTAAGGTGACGGGAGGACACTAGTTTGTGTCCTCCCGTTACCCTAATGTACATCTGCCTCTCCCTTTGGATACGCAGAGCCAGCTGTCAGTCACGCAGCTGGACGGATCCCGGCACAATTGTCGGTATACTGAGCCTAAGGTGACGGGAGGACACTAGTTTGTGTCCTCCCGTTACCCTAAGGAGAACTATGGGGAAAAAACTTAACCCCATAGTTCTCCTTTAAGGTTGTATTTACTTTGGCTATAAATCTCATTTCTATCTAAGGTTCTGTGATTGCTTATATTATCATTAACTAAAGAATTTAAAACTTGTATAAAATGAGCAGCGATCTTGTCAGATCAGAATGTGGTTTTTATTGCATTATATATTTTCTTAAATACCATAATTAAATATGGAAGAGCAAGCTTGTAAAATATTAAGGTCATAGCCAAAGCATTTTTAAAAGCTGAACTCCAGCCTTCCCTTGTGTACTGAAATTACTTACTTTGATTTCACTGCACACTGTGAGCTTCTCACAATGCGTGTTAACAAAACTACAGCAAGTCAGATAGAGCCAGCCTCATTTCCTGGTTGGAGAACATCTAGCATTGTTTACCACTTTCCTCTTCTGCGTAATTGTCCCTGGCTGGACCCTTTCCTTCATTAAATTTCAGTTCTTTCAATTATGGAGCCTCAGTATCACAAGTCTGTGTTACCCAAGGTCGTATGCATGCACATGCAGTCTGCATAGGAACACCTTTAAAGGCATTTTAATATTTGCATACCTCTTTCCTAGAGCCAGACCATTGCTTGCATCATGGCTCAGTACTCTTGATAGATTACTGAGGCAGGATGATGTGATGTTTATTGGAAGCTATGTACAGCACCCTGCCAGTCCCTAACACTGCAATGTTTACATTGCTTTATCTTAATATTGTTGTTGTTAATATTTATTTTTGTAACTTTATTCTGCCTTCAACATTTAAAAGTGTAATTTCATAAGATAATTTAAGAGGGTGGGTTTAGGGGCGGAGTTAAGGCCGAGGCAGGGTTGGGGTTAGGTGGGGCAACTGGTGGCGAGTAACTCTTAAGGCCTGGCTAGTAGCTCAGGACTTGAAATTTTGAGCCCTGAAATAAGGTATATGAGGAAAACAGAAAGATTTTATTTTAAAAAATGTCATTGGTATGCTGATGAGGGGGAAAGGAGGGACCAGGGAAGGCAAATATAAGCAAATAATACTTCGGCTTTAAATAAAACACAACAATAACTCAGAATATGCAAAGTTTGTAAATACACTATACTTTATCAGTGAAACCGACTAACCTCCATGAGAGTGTTTGCCATGTCTCCATTCCTGACCTGTAGCAGGTTCCCAATAAGTGGGAGGGCGGGGAAGGACCCGGGCGAAGCCGTTGCTTCCTAGACACCTGATTCCAGATAAAATAAAGAATTATAAGACACAGCAGAGCAGTGAGGAGGAGAGTCCCGCATCCCAATGCCTCCATGTTTGCTGTTAGTGCAAGATTTCATGTACGGCTTAACTACAGCTTCTGTGTTCACATGGACTTCATCCAAGGGGCCAGAATCTCGAGTTCTTTGAGTCCTGCAGTGCTCGCTGGCTGTTTGCCACATATTTCTCAAGAGCTGATAGAGAATGAATAGGAGGAAGGGGACAGGGTCCGGGAACTCTCTAAGAAAGGATTAACAAATGCAATCTTGCCATATAAAGTGTGGCAACCTAAAACCGCATTTAAAAAAAGTTAAGGATACAACTTTTTTTTTTGGCATTTAAACAAGTCACAAATATGTTTTAAAAGGGACCAATTGCTATTTAATTTTTGCTTTTAATCTGTTTCTTAACCGATGCTTAAAGAAAACTTGTCATGAGAATAATACTGCATGTAGTCTCTGACTTTTGACCTTTCAAAATTGCTGGCTGTTATACTAAACCTACGTCTTCAATACTTGTCCAATCACTGATCTGTTACGAGTATGCACTAAGCTAAGTCAATACTACTAAAAGAGAACTATGGGGTAACCTTTTTATCCCATAATTTTCTTTAGGGTCACAGGAGAAAATATACTAACGTCCTCCCGTGACCCAAAGCTCAGTATATAGCGAGATATAGCTTGCTATATACTGAGAGCGCCTCAGCCGAGACGGATCCCGACAATACTGTCGAGATCCACCCAGCTGGGTGATTGACAGCGGGCTCTGCCTATCTAGAGGCAGAGCCAGCTGTGCCCACCCCCTCCCTGTCCCTTCCACCAGTGAGCGCTGAAGGATCAGAGAGGGGAGGGGGGGAACCCCTGCAGGGAGCGGTAACTGTCAGTCATCACTCTCTGCAGGGAGATGATAAGGAAGTGAGCGAGCGACGGTATGTGTTCGCTCACTTCCCGATCAATAGAGCCGACGTGTGACAATTACAATGTCACGTGCCGGCTCTAACTATGAGGATGAGTGTAAATCACTCACCTTATAGTTCTCCTTTAAGTGCAAAACTGTAATACTGAAGCTAAAGGAGCAAGACAGCTCTCATTGATTCTTATGTGATGTGATTTCACATGGGGATTCCTATCATGTCTGCCTGTCAGTTTTTCAGGGGGATCTGATCGGAAGCTCAGTGTTAATCTATGGACAGCCAGATCTAAACAGACCTGTGTCCATTTACATCCAATTACCCTTGACTCCAGCCAGGTCCAGAAAATCAAATGGAACAGAGTTTCATTTTGGCGGACCTGAACATGCCAGATCAGGGGTAACCTAAACGGACACTGGATTACCAATGAATGGATGTCATTGGACATTAGATTCCAATGAATGGATTTCTAGTGACAGGTGACATAATCAGTCACACGATGCATAGGTTGGGATCTCATGAGAACTCCTGACCACACACATTTTCCTACACTATTGACATCATATTTGGGCCACCTAAATCAGTCCAGCAAGAAGAGGCACACCAATGGTGACAATTATTTATATATGGCACTGCTGTCTTTAGAAGATAGGAGTCCTGGGTTTTGGTTTTTTTTTTAGAATTTACAGTTTACAAACAGTTTTTATATTTTTCATGTTACATATTTTAGTTTTAAATGTGTTTATGGCTCAACATAAATGTTATGATATTTATTATTTCAGGTGAAACTCGAATAATTAGAATTTCATGCAAAAGTTCATTTATTTAACTAATGCACCTTAAAAGGTGAAACTAATATATGAGATAGACTCATTACATTCAAAGCAAAATAGTTCAAGCCGTGATTTGTCATAATTATACAATATTCTAATTTTCTGAGATTGTGGATTTGGGGTTTTCATGAGCTGTAAGCCATAATCATCACAATTATGACAAATCACGGCTTGAATTATCTTGCTTTGCATGTAATGAGTCTATCTCATATATTAGTTTCACCTTTTAAGTTGCATTAGTGAAACAAATGAACTTTTGCACGATATTCTAATTATTCGAGTTTCACCTGTATATTACTTTAATTTTGCATTCAACTTTGTAAAGTTTTATTTTTTTATGCACACCATTGTTGAGTGTCATCTAGCTTTAACTTTCTTCATCATTGTATTCTATTCTTTTGATTAAACCTTGGACTAACAATGCTTGTGCAACATGATCAGTAAGAGCCAAAAATATGTGCCAGGAAACTTTCCAAACATCAGTTCAAGCGAGTCTTATAATGCCCCCTGGCCCATTCCCTCTGCCAATACTGGGTAACTTTCTGCAGCTTCACTCTGATGCATTAGTGCCAGCCCTGATAAAGGGGAGTGTAAAATTCATATGATTCTAATATCTAAAAAAACTGCAGCTGCTGTGGAAGAACTTGTTTGGTCTTTTAACGTTAAGGTTGTATTTACTTTGGCTATATATCTCAGTTCAAGCTAAGGTTCCGTGGTTGCTTATATTATCATTAACTAAAGAATTTAAAATTGGCCCCAATTTTCCAACCTCTTGCAAACAGCCTTTAAACTTTAAATTTTTGCTTTAAATAGAGAATTACATGGTTAACATCCCTACCATTTTTTTTAGCTCTCTGTTTACCACTGGGAAGATTTCCCTTCACTTGCTGTTCTGGAGACACAACAATAAATGAGAGGAAATCTCTTCAAAGTGAGAGACATAGCAATCTTTTTTTCTTCAAGATTATTGCACGGTAATTTGTATAGGAAGATATATGTACCTATTAAAATAACAGCGGCTGTGCAATTCTTCCCAACTAGGAATAATTTATTTGTTGTGAGTAGTAAAAAAAATATTTCCACTTTTAAGAGAAGTCATGAAAGGTTTTCCAGCATCAGTATCCTGGTATTGTTTCACAACCCTTTCTATTTCCAAATATTGTGTAGAAAGCAAATCTAGTGAGAGCTAAAAGCTCCAACAGAGACAAAATGCAGCAATAGAACCCTCCAACATTTCGCTTTAAAAAATAATTGTAAAGCTCTATAGTTGCTATTAAGTCTAAAGTTAAATTAAGTAAACCTTTTTGATGAAGAAGAGAAAGGTTAGAATTTCAGTTAGATTTTTTTTGTTGACTGCGTCCCTCTTAATGAGCTGTGCCCTTATTTCCTGCCCACAAGTCACCATAACATAGAACTTTTAGATGTCAGTAAGCCTGAGATTCCTGGGTACAGGTTGAGGGGCTAACTGTGGTAATATTACATGGGGATAATAGATACCAACATGCTTTCATTGCAACAGTCCTGCAAAGGTTAGTAGTATGGTCCTCTGGACAAGCAAGGACAGTTATAAATTGGCAATTGTTAAATATGCTGGTAACAAACGGCAATTGTTAAAAAATGTGGGAAACAAATGGGCAATTATTGCAATATTATTATTACATAGTATTTATATAGCGCCAACAGTTCGCGCAGCGCTTTACAATGTAAGGAAGACATTACAATTACAATACAATTCAAGACAAGATGGTAAGGAGGGCCCTGCCCCTGAGGGCTTACAATCTAAAAGAGGAGGGGAAAATGATACATAAGGAGGTAGCTGTGAGGAGATGAATTATTTGAGAATGTGATGGTTCAGTGGTTAGGTTGAGGTGGGATAGGCTTCCCTGAATGAGTTTTTTGAGGAGCAGCGGGTGGTCAACAGTGTCAAAAGCAGCAGAGAGGTCTAATAGCAAGAGTAAGGAGTAGTGGCCGTTGTTTTTAGCTGTTATTAGGTCATTGGTGAGTTTTAGGAGGGCAGTTTCAGTGGAGTGTTGAGGGCGAAAGCCGGACTGAAAGGGGTCCAAAAGGTTGTTATTAGCGAGGTGGCAACTCAGGCGGTTGTAGATAAGGCGTTCTAGTAGTTTAGAGGTGAATGGGAGTAAGGAGATAGGTCTGAGATTATTGAGGTTGGTAGGGTCCAGTGAAGGTTTTTTGGGTATTGGGGTGACTAGTGCATGTTTGAGAGGGGTAGGAAAGATTCCAGTAGAGAGTGAAAGATTGAAAATGTGAGTAAGAGAGTGCAATATGTGAGAAACAAATGGGCAAGCCTTACAATATGCAATAAATTGCAATAAGAGTAACACTAGTGACAATCATACCTCCCAACATTATAATATGAAAATGAGAAAGATCCTGGAGGGTAGTGGAAACGCTGAGTGTGCAGGTCCATGGATCCACCCAGAAAATACCTCTTACTTACTGTGCTTTGAGTGAAAGTCTCAAAGATGCACATCCTGTCAATATGGCAGCACCTTCTGTTATATCTGAAGCCAGACATCACAGTATCTCTTGAAAAAAGGGGCAAAGGAAGGAATGCAGCTAGACACAGAGCGGTGAGGACATCCCTATCTGTAGTCCAGCTGCAAAGCCTCCAGCCCCATAATAGCAAGTCTGTATGGATGTATGGACCTGAACCTGAGGCAAAGCCTGTGTATTGCACCGGTGGCACAATGATTGTGGGTCCACTGCTCTAAAAATATTACAAATCTGACCTTGATATACAACTTGTTATGCAAAGCTACTACTGCCATAACCTGAATAGGATAACAACGCATATTTTCAGAAAGGAATTAAATTTCATTCAACAAAACATAAACATGAATCGGGCTATACCTCGAACTCACCTCAACCTTAACTCAGGTTTCCAGACCAGATCAAACTTACCTATGAAGTTTGTATTGCAGGTTAAAGGAGAACTATGAGATGAGTGATTTCCACTCACCTCATAGTTCTAAGCCGACCTGTGACAATGAGACTGTCACAGGTCGGCTCAGTAGATTGGGAGGTGAGGGAACACATACCGGGTTCCCTCACCTCTCGATCCTGTCACGGCTCTCTGCCGTGACAGGGGGAGGGCTGGATTCCCCTCTCCGATCTGCCAGCGCTGACTGGCGGAACGGACGGGGGAGGGGGCGGGTACAGCTGGCTCTGCCTCTAGATAGGCAGAGCCAGCTGTCACTCACGCAGCTGGGCGGATCCCGTCATCTACGTCGGGATCCGCTCCAGGTGCGGCATCTCAGTATACCACGAGCTGTAGCTCGCGGTATACTGAGCTTAGGGTAACGGGAGGACGCTAGTTTGTGTCCTCCCGTTACCCTAAGGAGAACTATGGGGAAAAACACTGACCCCCATAGTTCTCCTTTAAGCACTTAACTGCAAATTTACTAAAGGCAAACAATAGCATTTCACTTTCAAAATAGGAACATTATACAGATGCCCAGGAAGAGGTGTGAAAATTCTGCTTGAGGGATTATTAACAGTATGTATGATATGTAAACATCCAATTGACTCCAGGATTCAATTTAATACACAAGTGCAATTTGGGGGTCAGTTTCACAGTCCAGTAATAAAACAAATGTTCAACAAACATACAATTGCATACAAATTGAAATAGCCAATAGTAATGTAGCAATGTATTTCAATGGGAAAAATGTATTTTCTTTTTTTTCTATTCTGACATCGCTCCGTGTCAGAATAAAGAAAAAAAAGAAACAGCAGTGTTTCTCTCCTTGGCGGCCGGGAGCAGGAGACTCCCGGGGCGCCAGGGAGAGTTATCTGTTTGGAGATCAGTGTCCCTGGTTAGCAGGTAACCAGGGACGCTGATCTCTCTGCAACTGGCTGGAGCCAGCCGTAAGATCACGGCTGGCTCCGCCCAGCTGTCAGAAGCAGGCCGCTCGGCCAGCTTCGGCTTTCAGCACAGCTCAGCCGAGCCGATGCATATGCGTTCGGCTCGACTGAGCCGCTCGGCCACGTTCGGGAGCTGTACGGGCTATAGTGAATAGCCCGTACAGCACCCCTTCGGTTCTGCTGAACCAAAGGGGTCCTGGGGCCGAAGCTAGCCAAAGGATCGGCCGAAGCTACGGCTAGATCCTTCGGCAGCTTCGTGAATAGACCCTATAGTATCAGGTGGTGAGTCTTCTATATAACTCAATAGAACATAATATGGATCCCCAATCAAGGAGATCCCACCACCATTTCAAATGTGCGACAATTTGATTTAAAATTATTTGTTTATTATCTAAATTTAAATATATCTATCAATATAAATGACACACAAGTTACAAAAATACAAAAACCATGTGAAAAAAAGCACCACGCCCTTCTGACGAAGCCCCGGTGGGGGTGAAAGGCGTCAAGACTTGGCGTTCTTGTCTGGATGGCCTCGGCTATAGACACCCCTTGTTGAAGATGACAACTCATTCCCAGGCTAAATACTAATTCAAATATCTCCAGTCGGCCATTCGATTGACATTTAGCCGCCATTTGGACTTGCTCTGCTTACAACCTGAGCCTAGTGGTATCTTTATTGGCATTCACTATGGATCCCCATTGACCTAGGGTCCGCAGAAGTAGAAGCTTCCGGTCTGCGGCCACACTCACAAACTGGAACTAAAGTGACGTTCCATTTTGATACCGGATACCATTCCAGGAACACAAACATCATTGAATGTCTCCCTGTTAAGACTTTTTTAAGTCTGGTTATTCATACTACAGCATTTCTTCGGATACACAACAGTGGAAAATCCTGGCTGCATGACCCAACAGCATAACTGTGAGTGCTACATTATATTTCCTTTGATAAGGATCGATCCATATCAATATTGTTGATATGGATATTGTTATTGTTATTGGGAACCTTTCTTCTCTTTTTTGGACAAACATTCATTGAAGGGGTGCACTGATCATTGTGTCTATTTCAAAGTTATTATACATACTCTAGCCGAGTGCCATCTTTTTACTTGGTTTTTGTATTTTTGTAACTTGTGTGTCATTTATATTGATAGATATATTTAAATTTAGATAATAAACAAACGATTTTAAATCACATTGTCACACATTTGAAATGGTGGTGGGATCTCCTTGATTGGGGATCCATATTATGTTCTACAAAGTCAAAATACTTTTAAAAACGATTTAAATATAAGTATTATTATTATACAGGATTTATATAGAGCCAACAGTTTGTGCAGCGCCTTACAATATAAGGAAGACATTACAATCACAATACAAATCAAGACAAGATAGTAAGGAGGGCCCTGCCCCTGGGGGCTTACAATCTAAAAGGGAGGGGGAAGTGATACATGAGGAGGGAAGTAGACATTTAATTGATAGAGGACATGCAAAATGCATACTCTTTACTAAACCATCAAATTACATGCTTTAATACTTCTACAGATATCCAAAAAGTATGGTCCCTTCTGCACTGTTCACTTTGGTTCAAGACCTACTGTTGTTGTTACTGGTTATCAAGCCTTAAAGGAGGTATTTACTGATTATGGTGACGCTTTTCTTAATCGAGGATCAATACCTGTGTTTGACCGTCTCTTCAAATATGAAGGTGAGAAGTAATGCTATAAAAGATGTCTTCTGAATAAATGCTGACTGGCTCTACATTTTATTCTAGCATTTAAAGTGAGCCTTTCAATAACTTTGTAAGTATCTATGTATAAATTCCTGACAATTCTTAGTATACTGCAATAGTATATAGTTATAGTATTTTTGTGCTACCTAAATCCTTAAAATGCAACTAAAGGGTCATGTGTGGCAATCTAAACATGTACTAAATGCAGTTACTATGTGATGCACAAGCCTTATAAAGTAAACAGAAACTTCCATTACTTTTCTTGAACGAGTCAAATTCTCCTTTTTTGTGTCTCAAATACTACCTTCCCCATACACCGCAGCTCACAGTGGGAGTGCTTCAGCAACACAGGCAGTGCTGTCAATCCAGATAGTAGTGGGCAAAGCTAGGTGGTGACTAGGTGTGGCTAGGTGCTGATTGACAAGCTACAGGCAGGGGGACTAAGAGAAAATTAAAAAAAAAGTACAGGCGTGCTTATAATAAATTGCTATAGCACATTGTTTTAGATTGATGGCCATAGGTATACTTTAAAAAATATCTACACCCAGAAATCAAGAAAACACAAAATGCAGTATATGTTAGCTTAGCAATCCTTAAATGTGGTGGCTGCGTTTGTTTTTTTTTTCTTTTTTAACATACTTCCTTTCTTTGGGTGGCTTCATTCTATGGAGGACCAATGACACCACCCTTGGACAGCAGCATTGTCACTCAGTGGAGAGGGTAGTGTTAGATGCACTAGCAAATTGAGATGGACTTCACTAACAAATTAAATCCAAACACCAGCTAAAGGTGGCCATACACTTTTCAACCATCGCAAGATCTTAGTCTTGCGATGGTTGTAAAGTAATTTAAAAAACGTACGATCTGCTCATCTTGGACAGTCAGATCGTACTTGCGATCATCGCAAGCCCGCCCCCCTGAGGGGTGGGCTTTCGATGACCACAATGCTGAACGGGCAGTGTGCGCATGCGCACACCGGCCCGTTCGGCATTTGTCTCCCGAGCATGCCACAAACCAGCCTAAAATCGTAAGATTTTCGGCTGGTTTTCTAGCATGCTCCTTAGACAAAAGACGTGCGATCGTACAGTAGAAACGGTCGCATGTCTTCACTCACACTGCACGATTCTCATACGATTGCGGGACTTCCCGTGATTCTCGTACGAGAATCGTGCAGTGTTTGGGCACCTTAACACTTTTTTAAGCAGTTACAGCATTTTTTCCCTTTTTGGATAAAGTTTTTGCATAAATAAATAAAAGCTAACTATTGTAAGCCACCCTCTGTTTGCCTCCTTTGCTAACTAGCTTTGTCTGTTAAAGGAAGTTGAAAAAAACAAATTTACTGGCCAGATTACCAGGTAAAAATAAAAGTAAAAAAGCATGAACAAAACGCCACTAATTTAGCAACTATATTTATGGATTTATAATCTGCAATGTATTATATTTTTACTTAGTGGGTTTCATAATGTTGTTCAGCATGTTCAGCTTTTCCTGTGTCTGACTGCAATATTGTAACTTTGCAGCAATTCACAAGACGAGCAGCTGCAGCTGGGAGTGATCTGTGTCATAGCGTATACTGTGGTCATGATAGTAATAAATACCTGTAAAGGTGCCCATACACCTTATATCTGTCGTTTTTCGTATGCGATCGCGTTTTCGTCCGATATTCGTAAGGTTGATGGGCAGTGTACAACCTCAAATACTTTACAATCGATCGAATTTTGACTAACCAGCAGGTTAGAAAACTTCGGTCGCTCTTACGATTTGCGCAAGGTTGGTGGCGTTTCCGTACGTTGAAATTAATAATCGGGGAAGGATGGGGCCGACATACGAAGATTATACGATGGTTCGATCATCGGACGAAAGGTTTCGTCCCATGATCACAAGATGTATGGGCACCTTAAGTGTTACCTTTACACATTACTTCATCATGCAATCACACTCATAACATCAAAAATATATCTGATGCATGGTCCACTTTAATTTTTGTGTCTGTCTGTTCCTATAGGTGTGTGTATTCATACTTCCAGTATTGCCTTGAAAGTAATCCTGCAAAACATTTGAGGTAGTTGATTCCCTGGTTTGTGCACGTGTCTATTGCTTAGCCTACTGTGAACACACCATGTACAGGATAAGGAGGTGGAACATTACAAAACTAATGGGGTTCTTTTATCCCCATAATACTGACAAAGCCAGGATGACTAACTAAAGGCCAGAGCAGATTGTGCTGTCTAAATACATCTCAAGACCTCATTTTCGTTTTGAGGGAAATGTGCCTTTAATACAAAGGATAACCTAAAGAGAAATAGTTAATAACGTGGTCTACCTTTGCAGACCTACATACAAAAATGATACTTTATTTGCATGGTCTGGCTTTGAGACCAAGGCTCAAAGAAGTATACAGTAAAGAAAAGCCAGCGAAAAGCTGGTAATCCTTATTTCTATAATTACTGCTAGTCAGGGACTTAGTAAACAATAAAAACCATAGCATCCACATGACAGGCAGGAAAATAGCATTTTCTAGAAGGAGAGGTAATGGCAATTCACATATTTATCTTCCTGCTTTGTACTGATTTAATTCCAATTACACTTTAGTATTGTTATTTTTCTGTTGTTGTTTAGGCTTATCTTTCACCAATGGAGATACATGGAAGCAGCTAAGGCAGTTTTCCCTGCAGACTCTTAAAGATTTTGGAATGGGTAAGAAGAGTTTAGAAGACCCCATCGTGGAGGAGGCGCATCATATTGTGGAACAATTCAGAAAATTAAATGGTGAGTATTAAGGGCCTTCACATTCTTTTACAGCCAGATAAGAAAACATTAGTGTTTCACTGAAATGTCTTTTAAATGGCATTGAGGTTTTCTTTTTCCAAATGTTAGTCATATGTCTACCTGACTTTGACCTATACCACATAGGAGTTCCATCTGAAATCCTCCATAGTCCTGAACAGGCATGTTAGCAGACTAGATTTAGCACCAATATATGCAGCAACGGTTACATGTTTCAGTTTGTTGCATTTTCATCCCTGCAAAGTTGTTGTTGCAATTTCATCTCTGCAAACATATGCATCATTGCACGGGCACTGTTGCATATGTTGTAGTAGGCTTGAAGCCAGTCTCACTAAGCTTTGTTGGTGTCACTTGGGTCCAGTTGCAGTGCGGGTCATCACTGAGAGCTGCAAAAGGACCCAAACAATCTAGCATCTCCCTCATGGGTGAGCGCTAGATACTGTTAGCTGTCAGGCACTGCAAGAGGAAGGGATTGTAATTGCAGATTCTGGTCTTGTGAGTACACATTGAGCTCTACTATGTATCACCCACAGCAAGGCTGTATACCACTAGTGATTAATGTGTTACTGAACAGTTGAAATAGAGGTATTTGCACATACAGCACGCGTATGCTACAATATCCTTTTCCATTAACTACACTACTTTCTTATGTTTAGGAGAACCTTTTGAGCCCAGCACCACCTTGATGTGTGCCTCTTCTAATATCCTTGCCAATTTATTAATGGGGACTCGCTATGACTACAATAACAAAAAGTGGATGGAAATCCTGCAGAAGTCACGTGAAGCTTTTCATATTGCTTCATCTTTCTGGGGCCAGGTGAGGATTTTATCATTGATGCCCAGAGATTAGGACCATGGTTCACATGACATCTGAACAAGAACAGGTAATGTCACTAGTTAAGAGATGAGAGAATTCATTCACAGACACCTGGATTTCTGCAACATTTGCCTGAGCTGCTGAGTGCATTGATTTAGCCCTACAGACCTAGGTAGAGCAAGGGCTTTCATTATAGGGCTCTTGCAGATGGACGACGGCTCCCGTATACCATGAATGCCAGCATATTTCCACTGGCAAAAGCCCCAAGTACATGTATTTCTTCACATTAAAATTAATGGCTGTATGTTGAGGGAGGATAAAAGTTGTGACTACGTAAATCCCTGGATTTCCAGATGTAAAATATTGGACGCAGACAGGTGAGGGGAAATTTTGCGACTAAGACATCTGTTCCTGTGAAAACTGTTAAAGCTTCTCACTTTTGGGAGACTTTCTCTCACTTTCGGTTGTGTCTTAGGGACAGGAAGTGAAGAGAAATCTTCCCAAAGGGACCCAAAAAGATGATAGTTATAGCCACTCCCCACCCCAACCCCAAAAGTCTTGGCTTTAGCTATACTTCTTTTATGGACTGAGTATATTTTTTGTTCTACTACTTAACTGAATCTTGTTGTATTAACTTTCTTGACAGCTGTATGACCTTTTCCCAAAAATCATGAGCTATTTACCAGGACCTCACAGAAGCATTTTTACTCTTCTTGAGCCCCTTGAAAATGAATTGATGGATAGCATCCAATTTCACCAGGAGACTCTGGATCCGGCTTGTCCTCGAGATTATATCGACTGTTTCCTCATCAGGATGAGACAGGTCAGACAACACCTAGATCGATAGATTCATGCATTCCAAACCTGCTTCTGAAGCCCGAGAGGTCTCACAGGCACACATTTGCATAACTATTACATTATTCTTGGTAAGAAAGCAAGCAAGCATAAAGCTGAACTATATTTTTATTTACAGGAAGAGAAGACTGTTGGTCTAAAAACGCCATTTACTGTGAGAAACCTCAAAGCATCAATCTATGATATGTTCTTAGGTGGAACAGAAAGTACTGCAGTCACTGTAAACTTTGGATACTTAATACTGATAAAGAATCCTGAGCTACAAGGTACAATAGATGAAGTAATTTTAGTGGGGTGTACCTTTTAGGGTTTCTGAAGACAGGATTCAGTTTCAGGAGGGGGTCAAAGACAGCATGCTTTAAGATACTTTGACTCACTTTTGAGTTGCTTTGAATTGGCTTTTAGATAAGCATAAAGATCTTCTTCTGAAGTTCATGAAGTTGCTTTGAGTTTCTTTGAGTTGACATGTATGAGGCAAAAATAGCAGCTCAGATGCAAACAACAGGCAGTGTACATGAGCCCTAACAAAAAAACTGCCTGGACTGACTCAGCAGTGGGGGCCGAAAGGCACAAATGGAATAGGAGGCACACTGGGGATCCTTCTTTTTATTGGAACCTAACATTCCTAATGGCTTTAGCCATGAAGAGGATTTCTAAGTCAGGTGGAACCTCTTTTTTTGCCAAGCAGTCCTCACTTCTCACAATACCTTTGTGAAAAAATAAAGACATTCTTCGTTTGTTTCAGTGCCTGGTTCAACCAAATTTGGTAATTATAACTTGAAACTCCCATGTGTAAGCACCAAATTAATTGGCAATAACAAAAACTGTGTTGGATTTTGTTATACGGTAAAATCCTAATTTCCTGCTATACCATCATAGTCTTCTGCAGAAATAAATGAATACCACCCTGGTTAATACACTACATCAACTACATCATATAGGGCAAAACTCAAAGTAAACCTGCCAGCCAAAGCTCTACTCAAGTGGTATGATACAAAGAAGAGAGCGCCAGTTGACACTGCAGTTAATTTTTTTTATCACAAAGATAAAGAGATGTACTATACTATACTATACTATACTAACACTTATCTTAATCTTTGTGAGAAATAAAACATGTAACTTGACTGTCCACCATAGCCTGGCACTTTATTCTTTTTTCATCCCACTTTTGCCCTGAAAACCCCAGTCTAGGTCTATTGGATTCTAGTAAGCTGTCACAATGTATCACTTTCAGCGGTGGCATTTCAATAAAGTAGGTGTTGTCCTATCTCACGTAATGTACCGTAAAGTTGTAGAAGATTCCAAAACCACTGTCAAGCAAGACCCTAACCTCCAACCCTTATGAGAACAAAACCATAACCACAGTGCCTATCACCTCAATTAATATTCAACATTCCCCATCTAGGCATGGGGTTGACCGTTAAGTATTTTATATGGAGGGAGACTTTAATGTTATATTAGGGTGTGTGGATTACTTAGTTGAAAAGATACCTGCTTTTTGCCACCTGTCTCATATAGTGAGTGATGATTTATCTGCAGCAGTAGCTGATAGAATCGTTGATGGAGCTTTTACACTATTAGATAGGCAAACAGTTCATGTAATTGCTATGGGGTCCCAATAGTAAAGTGATCCCTTGTCATGCGACCTGCCGTTCTTGGTCACTGAGGTGTTGCCCAATGTTGATATGCACTTTCTGCTTTCTGGTCCATTGCATAGTTTGCTTCAATACATTTTTTTAATAAATTAGTTTTGTAAGTAGGGAGGTGGATGAAATGTGAGAAACAGAAAACTCAGTACATCTTATGTTCTTCTCTGAATACTTAAAAGATATGATTCATGAAGAGATTGAGCAAGTGATTGGCCAAGGCCGGGAACCTAGAGCAGGGGATCAGAGCCAGATGCCATACATGAACGCTCTTATCCATGAGATCCAAAGGTACAGTGACATCTTTCCAATGGGTTTTACCAGAGCCACCAGCAGAAATATTACTTTCCATGGCTACTACATACCTAAGGTACGTAAACACTGTCAATGAGGACTGCTTACACATAACGCAGAAAAACATTCAACAACAGGCTTCGATGTATAAAAAAAGTTCAGACTACTGACCTAGGGCACTCAATCAAATTCAAAATGTTATTATTCCACTTTTCAATTTCTGGTTTTGTAATTTATTTATTTTTCTTTAGTTTTGGATAGAGTGGGGAAGATATGCAATTTTTGTTGAATTATATTTCTGACTGTGGCCCAATTGGGGAGACTTCCCTTACTTTCTGTGATGCCATTGCAGAAAGTGAGCAGTGCAGTTGTCAGAGGGAAGCAAGTGCAGCAATAAAAAATATTGCCAAACGTTCTTACCTTCCCATACTCTACTAAAAATGTGTTTTTGTTTGTCTTTTTGCTGCACCTGACCATCACCTGTTCTGAAGGAACACAGTGAAAGTGAGAGTAAATCTCTCCAATAAGACTCAGACAGAAATTAAACCCTGACAATACCTCTAACCACTCTCCACTTGATCTAATAGAAAATTAAACATTATGGATGGAGTCGGACTTTGAAGCAGAACTGGCATTATGTTCACATAAAAAACATTGTCTGTAAAAAGGGTATTTTCATTAAGTGCATAATTTGTGTTACTTGTGCAGTGTTTACATGAAATACTTTTTGACATGACTTTCAGATTTTAAATGCATATATTTGTAGATTAGCAGGGAGGGTAGATTAGCCAGTACAAAAACACCCTAACTTCTAAATAGCTGTTGGGATCATTTATCAGTCACATAGACAGTGCATTGTTTTCAGTAATGTGAGATGGGGCACTGTAAAGTAGAAAGAAGAAAAGACAAATTTGGCTACCACCATATATGTAAAACATTACCAATCATGCAGTGCGGAAATTAAAAGATTATTTTAATTAAATTAAGATTTTTCACGATCTCTTAAACATCTATCTAAAATGTCATTAAAAATAATTTACATTGCTTTTAATGCCTTTTAATATGTTTTAATTTGCCTTATTATTTCATCATTAGTGGCAGTGGTCAGATGACACAGAAGCAGATCTGCATTCCCACATTAAAATGAGGTTTGACAGCAACATTCTGTATTGTTAACTCCCTGCTATAAAACTCTTCTATTTACAGGGAACCAATGTGCTTCCAATGTTGACCACAGCATTACAGGATTCCTCGCATTTCGAAACACCTTCAGAATTCAACATCAAACATTTCTTAGATGAAAATGGCAAATTTAAGACAAATGATGCTTTTCTACCATTTGCTGCAGGTAATAAAGTGCTGTAACACCTAACTATATTTGGGTAATGTTGTGGTTCACAAAGTCACTCACGATTGTAGCTCTATCTTGAGGACATCCTAGCTTTTGTAGAAAGAAGGAGGGGGGAAGGGCAATTAATGGTAGCAGATAAAGCAGTGCCATCTATGTTGATTGGAGTAAATGCTTTATCATCAGCCGGGCATTATTTATGATTAGGGATGACAGAATCATGAGAGTCACCAATGTGAATATCTGTCTGCATGTAAATAGATGTAGTTGGTAGAGAATCACGTAGACAGTTGAGTTATATGATTCTATGCAGGCTGGAGCAATCTTCAGGAGAGTAAAGTAATTAGCAGTTTGGAGATTCACTGGTTTTAAAGCTGAACTCAAGGCAGCAAAAAGATACACAAATTAATGCAAATATGAATTAATTAGTACATCATTTTTTTAATGCAATATGTGTGAGTACCTAAATTTGACTTGGTATCAGTTTCCTGCAGCCCCTGTACAGCAGAGCTCAGACTAAGGGGGAGAGAAACAGCACAAGGAGCTAATCAGTAGCAAAGCAAAGGGCATGTTGGTAAGAGGAAAGACCAGAGTGACAGAGATGAAGTCATAAGTCTGCTGCTTCTCCTTTCATAATCTGGTCACAGGCTGGGTGGCCAGGACAAGACCTATACGTGTTACTTAGCAAAAATCAGGCCTCCTGTCCTGTCATATACAACTTTGGTGTGTCATGTTTCAGTAAATCATAGAACTTAGTAGACAGAAATGCAAATTCATTGAACAAAAAAAAAAACTGCACACTTATTTATTTCATCTGCATATTTAGGTGTGTCACTGTATGTTGTATGATTTCATTATTGTAGGAAAAAGAGGTTGTATTGCGAAGAATCTGGTGCGCATGCAGCTTTTCCTTTTCTTCACCATTATCCTACAAAGGTTCACCCTGAAATCAATGGTGGACCCCAAAGATCTTGACATCTCACCTTTGGAAAGCGGCATGGAAAACGTCCCACCAGCCATCAAGATCATCTTTATTCCTCGCACAATAGAAGGAGGAGCTTGAAGAAGTCTTATATTTTAGCACTTGGAACATCCAGTCTACATTATTCCATTATATACATTTTCATTAATGTTTATGCAAATAAAAAAGTGTGGGGCAACAGCGGCATATTGCATGAAGCACTTCTATTAGGTTGATCATTCTCAGGGCTAGCTTACATTAGCAGCACTAATTTTTAAAAATGTATAAGATTAAGTAGGTTATCATTGCCTAGTAACAAAATATTCTGTATTTTTAAAAGATAAACTTGGATAATTATTTTAGATACTTATGGTTTTTATACGAATCCAGGGATCCCAACCTAAAAAAAAACAATTTCAGGGAGGTGCCCTTCTCATTTTAGGGAGGTGCCC